TTTTATATTTAAAATGAGATGTTTATCCTGTATTTGATGAAATAGGATATGGATGAAATCAGATAGGAATGAAATCGTTTAGGGATGAACGGGTTTAGGATGGCTTTAACAGGTTGTACCATTAGCAATAGATGTTGTCTTTAAGAATTTTAAGAGTTTTAGCCAAATGTTTTATAATATAGTATAGATTAATAAAACAATAATAAAACATAATATATTATTATTTGACATTGAAATTTGTACTATTATCAATTCCAGTGGCATTTAACACATGACATTAGCACTCCCCTTTAGTAATGGAAATCAAGTTAGATACGGAGGATATGAATTTGACATGATGGCCGATAATATTTGATTGGATTATCAAATTGTAATGCCTGTGTAGATTTCCTTTTACATCCTGAAGATACTTGAAACTCATCTCCAGATAGCAATGGCGTTTTCCAACTGGTTCTCTCGTCTGCGATCGTCTTATAAACCCAACAAATTCATTCAAAACTCCTTCATCCATTCCAAACACACCCCTCAATCACGCAGTTTAGAGAACACAGTTATAATCAACTCAAACAACAGCAACAAACAATCATGGAGGAGTTTTTTGCTTCCCATTGTTCTCGCCGTCTCCGGTGGCTCTTTTGCATTCCATTTACAGAAAAACGCATCTCTATGCGATGCCCCTAACCACCAAGAAAGGTATTTTAATGTTGATCATCATCATCATCATTTAGTTGATCTTCTGACATGGCTTGGTTGTATTGTTTTGATTGAAACGGTTTTCTGAACCCTTGAATTTTTTTGGCGGGTTTCAGAGTTGGGCGAATTGGGGGAAAAGATAGCACGAAGTATGTGGTAAAGGGCACTTATAAGCCAGTCCCATCTGAACTCATCAGGGAACTGAAGGCCATATGTCAAGTACTCTGTCATATTATTCATTTATAATGTTTCGAATTTCTCCCTCCATTAGAAGTTTGATTATTGCAAACCCTATTACTTTATATGGATCTTGTTACAAATTTACACCAGCTATTTATTTAGACCACTATGTGAAATACCAAATTAACAATCTGCTTTAATCGATATTGTGAAATACCAAAAAACCACTATGGTTTTCAAGAACTATTGACTAATGATCTTGTGAAATACCAAAAAAACCCACAATAGTTTGCAAGAACTATGGATCTAGAACAAAGTAGGGAAAAGTAAGTGCAAAAAACCATAAGGCTTGAGGTTTTTGTCCAAAATCTCTCTTGTTTGCAAGGTATACCATTTTTCTTGCATTTTTGTAAAACCATAGTTTATTTGTAACAAAAAGTCAAGAATCATTGTTCTTAAAGCCAGTCGCTCATGTTGATATGAAGTTTGTTAATTTGTCAAAAACATCATGGAAATTATAAGTGGCTCATATAATTTCTGAAGTCTAGAATGAGTGTTTGACCTTAATTACCAAATAGTGCCTCTTTCTTTGGAAAAAAAAAATTTAATTCAATAATACCTTTCTGCAGCAACCTGGGTAATGTTTTTGTTCTTTCTTATTTTTTGGACCAGAGGCTAAGTTCCTTGAGGTTCTTGATGATTATATGGCAAGTAAAGATAGAACTTTCAAGCTTTATTGGGTCAAGGTTTTTTGGGATTGTAAGAATTGGGACAGGAACCAATATAACAAGGTGGTTTATGCTCATTTTACAGGATAACATGACATTGGATTATGATGAAAGATACTTCCATGGGAAACCACAATACAGCTTTCACAAAGCAGTCAATATCCCTGATGTGGTTGTGTTTCCGAGGTGACACAATTTGTGGTTTTGTCTCAGCACTCTATAAACTTCTTTTTTTCTTTTCTTTCTTGGCTGTTATACCCAACTTTGCTAGTGAAGATTTAGATCATATAATGCGTGAAAGAGTAGGTCGATTTCTGTCCAGACGCCTATAATAAGCTAAGATGAAAGAATTCAAGGTTTTAAAGATAGATATATGCTACTATGAAGTTTTGATGTGCCTGAGAAAAATAGATATTTTGCTTAGCAAAGGATATAACAAGATTTAAATTGTAACGGTAATTCCTGATTAGTAAGAAAAGAGGAGTCACTCAACATGTCCTAACCTGACCAGGTGCATCGAGGCCCTTCAACTTTGGGAGGGTGCAAATGGGAGTCATATGATGTTAATTAGGAGAGGTCACTTCACAATTTTTTGTTTACCCAAAAGGGAGTTTCATTTTAAATTATAATAGGAAGACAATTTTGATGTTTTAACATTCTCTTTCATTTTGTGGAGAATGGATAAATAGCCATTTTGTCAATTTGTACTTGATCAGGTGTAAAGTTGTCCAAAATATGGTATTTTAACGGTTTCTAGATTTTAATGTGGCCTTCTTTCTAGGACTGAAGGCAGTATGAAATAAACATTTGTAGAAAGTATCGTGCTTCCTAAATGTATTCTGTCCAAGTTAGTTGTAGTTTTGTTATTTTAGTTGGTTAAAAAGACGTGATTATAGTTGTCCTAATTCCATCACAAATGAAACTTTATGAGTGCAGGTCTGAAGATGAAGTGTCCAAGATTGTTCGATCTTGTAACAGACATAAGGTCCAATCCCTTGCGTTGCTAGAATTTTCTGCCAGTTCTTTTTCTTGAGTTTAGCCCATGTCATTTTCTTTGAATAATTCTTTTATGTTTTAACACACACAAACTGAGCCAAATAGGAAACACACACATATGCATGTGCTGTGTGTCAATCCTGTGAGGTAGGTCCTCTTCATGTGAACTTGACATTTGTGGGATAGGTTGGTAGTATCGTTTTTAGAATCTGGGATAGTGGCCAAATCCATGATGCAACTGTTATATCTGCATTAATGATACACATTGAAGATCTTAGCGAAATACTGTGATCTGTTTGTTACTCAATTTTCTATACACTGATAGGGTAAAATATTTATACATCTAGTTCTAAAAGTTTGACATGTGTCAGTTCATGGAAAAATTTAGTAGATTAAAATCCTTTAACCAATTCATAAATGGATACATGTCAAATTTAAAGCCACTTGTATAAATTTACACTAACAATACATTACTTTTTTCTCAATTTGTACACTATTAATACGAGCTCATTCATTTTCCATATGCAGGTCCCTATTGTACCATATGGTGGAGCTACATCAATTGAGGGTCACACTTTATCTCCTAATGGAGGTGTTTGCATTGACATGACTCTAATGAAAGTATGAAACACTCTTTCTTGTCGAAATTTATGGTACATGAGCAACCTTGTGCCGTTGTTGGTTGATTTAAAAGATATACATATATGTGGGTGTGTGTTTCAACTTTTTTCTTTCAGCATGTACACTGTTGTGCTTGTGAAGTAAGTTGTTATGTTTCAAAGTGGTCTTAGTTACTAGGAAAAATCCTCATCAGATTGTTTTGTTCCTGTATTCCATGAAAGTTGCAACAACCCATCTTGAATGTCCATCAAAATTGCAAGACTTTGTTTCTTTGGAAAGTTATCAAGGTAGAACTATATGTTTTCCTACTGTCAGCATTACTTGTAATAGCACATTCTTGGGCCTTTACTCATGCTCATGGTCCCAACTAGAAGTCTTTTCACAACTAACTTGTTCCTTTATCTTCTTATAATATTTGAAAAGCCTTTGTGGACTACTCATTCTAACTGAATTAACTGTTCACGTTTAGCATGTTAAAGCTTTACATGTTGAGGACATGGATGTTGTTGTGGAGCCTGGGATTGGATGGATGGAACTTAATGAATACCTAGCTCCTTATGGTCTATTCTTTCCTCTTGACCCCGGTTAGTGTCTTCATGTTCTACATTGCACTTGTGCTTGTTAAAATGGTTTTCCTTCCGCATTGTTCTCGTTTCACTTTTTCTGTATATTTGGAGATTGAGGTGTATATGTTTATGTTGGTAGGACCTGGAGCAACCATTGGAGGGATGTGTGGGACGCGTTGTTCTGGTTCTTTAGCTGTTAGGTAGACTCGTTATCTTGTTTAGTATTTTATCCGTCCCAAACTATGCCGCATTTATTCTAAGATATCATAAGAAGGAAATTGCTGCATTTTTTTGGGACAGGGGTGGTTGACTATAGCAAATATAAACCCTAGTTAGTAGTAATGTTAATGATGATCGATAATAATGACTTATGATTTTGTTTGTATGTATTTGAGGTTGTACTTATGCTTTAAACATGTAGGTATGGAACCATGCGTGACAACGTCATCAATCTCAAGGTTGGTTTCTTACCTTCAATTTCTTTTGATGAAGTCGTGTTGGCATCACACCATGAGTTGTTTCCTTTCTAGGCTGTCTTAGCAGATGGAGAGGTTGTCAAGACTGGATCTCGTGCTCGAAAAAGTGCTGCTGGGTGGGTTCTAATTGTCATTACCGGTGTTTTTTTGTGACAAATAACTCATATGCTGGATAAACTAATCCTTCGGTGCAACTTACCATCCATTGAATGCCTATTTGGAGGGTATACGGGACACTTGTCATCATATAACCACCGTTCTTATAAAAGTTCCTTTACAAGGGCAATATATGGAATAGTAGAAAGTGTGTCATATAGGAATAAGAACGAAATGCATATTTTCCTCGTATCGTCTTTTACTTCTCTTTGGAGACAGTAAAACGAGATAGAGTCGCATGATAGGTTTGTAGTAGAGGATGAAATGAGAACTAATTGAATTTTGATTGTATTGGGGAAATCAGTTAGATATCAATTGGAAGGATATTGCTGGTCCTCGATCATGATTGAAGTTGTGTGTTTCAGGTATGATCTTACTCGGCTCATGATTGGCAGTGAAGGCACCCTGGGTGTGATAACAGAAGTTACACTGCGCCTGCAGAAAATTCCGCAACATTCAATTGTAAGTTTGTTTTTTATAAAATTACTTAAGACTTCCTTTTTTATTTTTTTCTAATTGAATAAGGGCAAAAGAGGAAGAAATAGACAGACCTTTCTGCTTACACACAGTTGACTTGTAGGTTGCCATGTGCAATTTTCCTACCATCAAAGATGCAGCTGATGTTGCAATAGCAGCTATGTTGTCTGGCATACAAGTATGTTTTTTTCTCTTTCTGTTTTGCAATAACTTTCACCGTCTTTTTTATTCCAGAATCTTTCAACTCTCATTAAGTTCATGCAATATAAGTGCTTTGGAAGGATCTGTCACATGTGCATTTGAGTAATTTCTTCTCAAAGTGCTCTTATATATTTTTTGACATCCATTTTGATAGATTTTTCATCTGTTTTTTTTTTGTGGTTCTCTAGTTCCTTTTTTTTTTGCAAAGTTCTCACTTGATCTTTACGGGTTGGGTTCCGGTGAGAAGGAGAGTTAAGGTGAGAAGTGTAAGAAGGGATCTCCACCCTTGGATGCACATTAGGATGAGATGCACCGGATCAATCCCCATATCAAGCGCGATTCATGGGTGAGTTTGAGATCAAGGGTGGAGATCCCTTCTTATGCTTCTCACACGATCCTTCTCCTGATCTTTGCCCTAGATATATACACATAGCAGCATCTGTAATCATATCAATATCCATAACATTTCTTATGGCTATATCATGGTCTTCTCTTGTCCATCTTTTTTCTCTGACTGGAGGTGAAAGATGCAATATAGTGTAACTTTCTTGCCAATTGATGGTAAAATAAAAAAATAGTTTGGTACGAGTTGGAGACAAGATAACATTTTAAATTAACATATTAAATTGGAAAATAGAGCAAAGCACAACATTTAATGCTTAAAAGATGCATTATTTAGATAAAGTTCTTGTTCAAGGAGCTGGCTCTTACAAAAGAACCCTCTCAACTTGATTGAGCTGCGGATGTATACATTTCCCTTTTGCCACCATCTGCTGGTGAAAATTTGTCTCGGTACAAAAAAATTGTGCATATCTTGCTGCTTGTAAATTGACAATGAATGTTCATCATTATTCATCTAAATAACTGCAAGAACATGTTGATCACGAGTGGAATTGAATTCTGAATGATTGTAGGGATGAACTCTGATCCTGTTTGTGCTAGGTGTCCAGGGTGGAGCTGTTAGATGAGGTTCAAGTGAAGGCTGTCAATATTGCCAATGGGAAAGACTTGCCCGAATTTCCAACTTTGATGTTTGAATTTATCGGCACAGGTGATTCCTGTTCTCCTTGTTGGTCTTTCAAATCCTTAACCGGAATACCAACTGATGCAATTTGGTTGCTCAATTCAATTTGTAAGTGGAGAGTTGATACATTTTGTAACTGTATTGTTGAAACTGCAAAGAAAGGAAGTTGCGTAGAAAAAGGGGATTTTACTTCCGGCAAATAGAATCCCTTTTTCTTACATTTGTGGCATAAACCATAATCTTGAAAGACTAGTTTTATTAGTTCTAAAACATTTTGCATAGTTATAAAAATGGAGGGTTGCTGATACCTTGTGCTTATAAATTTCTTTTTACAAGACTGCTAAGATTTGGCATCAAATTGACTATTTTACAGAAGCATATACACGTGAGCAGACACTTATAGTTCAGAAGATTGTATCTGAGCATAGTGGCTCGGACTTCGTTTTTGCAGAAGATGCAGAAACTAAAAAGGAACTTTGGAAGGTTAGTTGGTGTTTATCGCTGCATGGTTGTTACATGGGGTTTTGACATGCTATATATTTCTTGATGTCTTTTCTCCCTTTTAGTAAATCACCAATTTCGTTAGTATTTTCTTCATGAAAACAAAATATTAGCCACTATGAGACTAACTTAATGCTATAAGTTTGCCTCTTTATGTCTGCTTTTGTGTTGCGTTGTTGTATTATCCTTTTGAGTTTTAAACTTGTAGTATTTTTAAAATTTTCTTTTCTCGCTCCCTCTTCTTTCTAGATAAGGAAAGAGGCTCTCTATGCCTGCTTAGCAATGGCGCCTAATTTTGAAGCAATGACAACGGTCAGTCTATAACTAGTTTTCTTTTATTTTCCCTCCAAAATCATAATTGCATTATAAAGTAACTCCTATATCTTGATGGTTGACCAGAAAAGTCAATTATATCTCGTTTGATGGGGGAAATTTCACTATCTTTTTTTTTCTCTCATTCTTTTTCGGTGGGAAGTATATTTGCAAAATTTATGCTTAAACTCTTTGCAGGATGTATGTGTTCCCTTATCACAACTTGCTGGACTAATATCTAAATCTAAAGAAGAGCTAGATGCTTCATCGCTGCTATGGTATGCTTCATCCACATTAATTATGTGTATTCTGTACACCTTGACTTGATGTTAAACTATTGGCCATTATCAAGAAAACAAAGGTCAAAAATCCCTCCATCCCCAATCTTTCATATACCTGTTGGTTATGGAACATGGATTTGCACCAAGGTTGTCTTTTTCTATATTTTCATTTTCATACCCGAGATGAAATACTTACAGATATAGTTATATAAAGTTTGACCCATTCCTGTTGACAGCATGGTGATTGCTCATGCTGGAGATGGTAACTTTCACACTGTGATTTTGTTCGATCCAGCAGACGAGGAACAGCGCAAAGAAGCTGAAAGATTGAACAATTTTATGGTTCATGCTGCTCTATCAATGGACGGTACGGAAATTTATTGATTCACTTGCGTACTCACTCGCATTTACATCTGAGTTTGTAACTACTGATCTCAGGTACATGTACTGGAGAACATGGCGTAGGCACGGGGAAAGTGAAGGTAAGCATATATACATGCACATTGAGATGACTTCAACTTATGAGTTTTTTTTGCAGATTGTTGAGTTGATTTGAAATATTGATTGCATTTGGTGCAGTATCTTGAAAAAGAACTTGGAGTAGAGAATTTGAGGGCAATGAAAAAGATAAAGGCTGCTTTGGATCCCAACAACATCATGAATCCTGGAAAGCTTATTCCCCCACATATTTGTTTCTAATGGAGATTCATAGATACAAGACACTCCAAGTCTCTTGTTGTTAATCTCGCCATACGTCTTCAGTTTGAATCTCGTGAAGGCCTTTAGGGTTTTCCTAGTTGTTACAAAATATTTTACATATGTACAAATTGTTACATATTGTATGTGTTTGCAAGCCAGATGAGACAACTGCTCTACCCCCTAATGTTTGGTTTTCAAGAATTCAGTATTCCTCTTGCGAGGGTATGCAATCTTGACTAATTTAATATGAATATGAAGTTAATCGCTATACGAACCCTTGAATAACTGTTATATTTTTTTTCCTCAATCGCAACTTCTTAAAAAAATAAATATATTGATTTAAAATTTATGACACATACATTATACATTGAAGTACGCATGTGTTGGGGATGAAAACGGGATGTGTAATGCATCCCTGATCCATGCTTAAGCCCCCATCCCTGACCTTGCTTTTACTATTGCCTGACGGGTTCGAGGAGAAGGAGTCCTTGACGGATTCAGGGGACCGGTGGGCACCCGTTTAGTAAAAAACGATGTATTTTAAAGTTAAAATTATAATGAGTCGTCGTTACATTAATTAACAATATTGAAAATAAAATTAATTTATGATTTAGTAATAAACATATATCCTTGTATATATTCATTTATACACACGCTATATGTCTATGATAATAAAATAAAAGATTTAATTAAGGTCGGATGAGGACAAGTGATGCCATATCCGACCCTAACTTTGAGTATGAAGATAACTCTTTACCTCATTACCTGCTAAAATACGAAATCTTCACCCCGTTAAGATAAGACACCTACAGATACCTGTCCAAACAGATAAAATTTTCAATCTCTTTTAGTAGGTCGACCTTTTCATGGATTTAGAAATTTAGGGAGTTGTTACATCATTTGGTGTTATTATAAAATTTAATAGTTTAAAGAAAAAAAATAAAAGTAGAAAAATTAGTTGTAGAGTCCGACAGCCAACCCACGAACTCTTTGCATCGGTCCTACCACAGCTTTTTAGATCTTTTGTATTTACTGTTATATATCTCGTAATAAAATAATAGTCGTTTCTTTGTCCGGATATCCAAAAGATTTTTGATACAAAAATTACAATTCTAGGGTTTCAGATTCTATCACCCGCTCTTTTAATTCCCAATCATTTCTCCACGGTTTTCTCCAAATAAATTCCCTCCCCAATCTCTAGGTCAAATTTTCGCTAGATTTCTCATTTTTATTGGGAAAATTTTCATATCTGGACATCGGCATGGGCTGAGCCCCCTACGGGCCCTTGATTTCCTCCACAAAATCCTTCAAGGTAATGTAATTTTGAACAATTAGGTCAAGAATCTTACCGGAATATGTGTGATTATATTTGTATTTCCGTTTCAGAAATATTTTGTGATCGCGTTGACCTAAATTTGTAGTTAGAAACTTATATTCGATTAAATTGTTTGTTATTTTTGTATGTTCTGATTGAATATGTGGGTTATCACAGGGTTCTGTTGTCGTTTACATTTATCTGGAAGGATTGATGGTTTTTTATATGGTAAACGATCTCCTTTGAAGGGGTGGGGGGGTTCAGAAACTATTTGGTGCGACGAAATCTTCCATTGAGTAGGGTGGTTTGTTTTTGACTGATTTGATGAACGTTTGCTATAAATATGGAGTCTGAGAGTGAGCAGCCTGAGGCAACTGTGATCAAATGGTGTGATTGTGGGTGTGATTGTTGTTCTGCAAAATTTGACGGATCATATTCTGGGGCATGGGTTCGCTCCATGAAGAGAAAGCTTGATGAGAGAGATGACGATAAATTGTTCATTCCTGGTCTTTTGATTCCTGATGTGGCTCGTGTAGACATTGGAAATGAATGTGTTGCGTTGCGGGAGATGGTTAGCAGCCAACAACAAACCATTCAAGAGATGTCGGATGAATTGGATGAGGAGAGAAACGCCGCTTCCTCGGCCGCCAATGAGGCCATGTCGATGATCTTGAGGTTGCAGCGTGAAAAGGCTGAAGTCCAGATGGAGGCCCGGCAATTCAAGCGTTTTTCTGAGGAGAAGATGGCTCATGACCAGCAAGAGATTATGTCAATGGAGGATTTCTTGTACAAGAGAGAACAAACCATACAAGCTCTGACTTGTGAGGTGCAGGCATATAAACACAGGATGTTTAGTTATGGTCTCACAGAATCCGAAGTAGAGGGGCTGAACGGTGGTTTGACACGCAGTAATAGTCTTGGCACAAACCTGGAGAACCAATATGAGTTCCCTGCATATAATTACCCTCCTCTAAAATGCCATTTGATTGAAAATCATGTGGATCCCGAGTTTGACAATGGGACAGTTGATATAGAGCAGTATGCATTTGGCGAGTCCCCACATTCTCTGAGAGATATAGAAGAAAGGATCAATCAATTGGAGACGAGTCCTAATCATAGTCCAGTGCTGGAGAAGGTGATTGTTGGTCACTCACCATGGCTGCAGGATCATTCACAGAAGTTATCTACTGATAATGCTGAATCATTCATCGCAACTAAAGAAGACTTTGTGTCTGATTCTCCTGATCTCAAGAAGGTGGAGAGTGCATCCGAATTTGGAGATGACATGAGTGACAGGATATATACCGTTGACTCTATTCATAATGCAGCATCTTTTGATGATGATCTCAAGGCTAATCGTGGTGTATATGATGATCTTGATAGTACTCGAAATGATTCATCATATCGCACCGATATTGGGGATATAGAGGTGAAGAAGCTATATGCAAGGCTTCATGCCCTGGAGGCAGACAGGGAATCCATGAAGCAGGCACTCATGTCCATGCGGACCGATAAAGCACAATTGGTACTGCTTAAGGAAATAGCTCAGCATTTGTACAAAGACATGTCGCCACCAAGCAGGATGCCTGTTAAGAAGCGATCTGTGTTTGGGAACTTTACCTTTTTCGTGCTGTTCAAGGTAATAGCAAATTACGTTTGTGATAAATTCATGTTACAATGCTGCACATATCTGTTAAGTTGCATGTGCTATATGGAGTTCTTAATTTGTTAGTGATTTTAGTTAAATATTTGCTTATGATGTTTTGGTAATATGTTTATAAATATTTTTGATCATATGCTTCCTATAGATTTCTTAGCTCACCATCAGAAGTGTGGTTGATCATTCATACATTTATCAGAATCATCTTGTCTCGATTAGTTGTAATGCATTCCTTTCCTTAATACGAGTTGATGGGCTTGGCAATAGTTTTTCCCCTCCTGTTGCCAATTCTATTTTTCAGCATAATTCATATGTGAGGGCATAATTTTCTCTCTGTTTAAACTAAGTAACGACCGTTCTTACCTTGCTTTAATCTATGTTTCAACCATATCTCTGATAGATTTTATTGAACCTATCCCAACTAATCAGGGATAAAATACTTGTCATTGTTGCTGATCTTTCAAGTATGGTCACCTTCTCAGGAACTCAATTCTCTTGCTATAACCACTTTTGGTATTTTCAAGTTTTGTTGGTATGAACTGTGAGTTTTTGTGTTTATAGCAGTTAGCACTTGGTACATGATAGATGTTTCAGCTATATGTATATGCTCTTGCCCTTGTTGACTGATCATATAGTGTAGTAGATGTTTCAGTTATATGTATATGCTCTTGCCTTGTTGACTGATCGTATACTGTAGGAACTTTTGATAGACATTGATCATGAGAAGGTTTCCAGGAAATTCTGTATTTATATTTTTTGATGAGTAACCAAACCAAATGAAACGAAAACCATGAATATAAAAAGGTTTCCAAGAACTTTTTATTGGAGGTCATGTCTTCGACCTTCGTAAATGTCTAAGGTTGTCATGTCCGTTGTCAATAGCTCATTCCATGTGCTCCTGGATATGTTCCTTCTTGTCGCGCCTTCGACCGTCATACTTTCTACTTTTCTCACTGATGCCGCAATGGGTATCTTGCGAACGTGTCCAACCCTCACTCAATTTATCGTTTTGCACACAGCTCCCTACTCCGCCTGGAAGGACTTGTTCAATATCTTGTCTAACATGTTCCAACCACAAGTCTAAGCATCCTCGTTTCTACAACTTTCAACTTCCTCTCATGGGCCTTCTTTCTTGCCCAACACTCTGACCCATACAACATGGCTGGTCTAATGGCTATCCTGGAAAATTTGCTTTCCATTAAGTGAACATTTTTGTCACACAACACCCCCTTAGCAACTTTCCAATTTAACCGCCCAACTTTACATGGTGCGTTACTTCGTCCTCACCTCTACCCCTGTTTGATTGAGGAGCTTAAACATGTCTTTTGTCTTGGAGCAACTAATACACAAGCCTTGTGTTTCCCAAGCCGCCTTCCACTGCTTCAACCTCTCGACATCCCTTCGACTCCACTAACAACACAACATCACTTGCTAATAACATACAATATATGACGCTCCTCTGGATCCATCTGGAGATTTCATCTGAAATCACAACAAATAGGAACTGGATTATTGCTTATCCGTTGTGCAGCCCTATCTCGATCCGTAAATACCTTTTCCGGTTTCACACGAGTCCTCATCCGGTCGTACATGACATTTTTCTGAAAATTAGATACCAGGTGCTAATCTTTAGTATGCATTTTAAAATTGATCTTATTTTGAGGACCTTGAGACGGTTTTTAGGTGAAGAACATGTCACATTAGTTATTGATTTGGGTATATGTCATACCACCTTTACTGCATCCTTATTGATGTACCGAGCCTTATCTTGCTAAACATTTGACTGGTGCAGGGAGCTCCTGCATTGAGTGCAGGACCAGTAGTTCCTTTGAATTTCTTTCTTGACTGCTTACATTCTCCATTCACAAATGAGTTTTATTTAAATATCTTTGTTTGTTGTTGGATTTTCATCAAACTTTTACTTATAAGTATTATGTTGATCTCTTTGGCCAGTGGATCGCATCATTTCTTTTTTGGAGAAGGAGAGCACGTCAAAGCAAGTAAGTTGATCGTCTTTGTTGTCAAGTTCTTCCATTATCTTGTGTTATGGTCGTAAGTGTTTCTTCTGCTCAAACATGCAATTTTTTATCTTCTTTTTTTCAGATACATGTTTGGTATGTCGGTCAATAACGTGGGGTTGCGAATGGTGTTAGACAAGGGACCGCAAATGGGGCAATGGAGGTGTCTTTCAAGAACGCAGTTGTTGAAATATTGATTTGGACTTTCTGCCAGGTTTAAACATCTACAACACACTGTTTGGTTTTTGGATTTTATATAAATAATTTCTTTGGGGATCATAGTGGGGGAAGTGTTGGTTGCTTTTGATCTTTTGAAATTGGACTGGTTGATTAGCGAGTGTTGAAGAAAATGTGGATACAAATATAGTGAGTGGTAGGAGAAGATTGGCGCCCTGGTTTGTAAGGTGTTCTTGAATGCATGAATATTATTTGGTGTCTATTGCATTGTAAATTACGAATATGATTTGGTGGATATGAAGTTGAAGATTGCAGGTTTTTTGATATGAAACCTGTAGAAGATTACACTGACTGCAATAGAAACCAAAAAAAGAGATTGCAGTTACTCTGCTTTGGTTCCGAATGCAAATTTTAAACGGAGTAACTTCGTATACGTTTCCTTGTTTAAAATCATCGTGGTCCCAATTTGCCAGCCGTCGTCACTTCTTGTGTGTACAAAAACTGAAATATATATTTGTAACCATTCATTTGTATGTATGATGTGCACACAAATAATCCTCAATTGAGCTACATGTTCTATGAAGTTCATAAAAGTTCTACACCCTTCAATTGAAAATATATCCAACGGTTTGAAAATTATTTATTTTTAGATGATGTTGTTTGTAAATTATTTATTTTTATAGTCATATAAAAAATGACCTATTTAAACCATATAATGATGTACATTAATCTTTCCAATAAACTTTTTTACAATACATGTATTCAAAAAATCCGCATTTCACATTTTATTTTTCGATTATGTAATGACAACAATGTTTATTTTAATGTCACTTTAAAGTTAAGCATCACGATAGTTAGGCATGGTGGGTTAAGCATTTCAAGAAAGGTGGCATGAATTAAAATCAACGATGGCACAAAAATTAACGTAATAAAAGAATAAAATAATTAATTATATTAAATACAATAAAAAACATTAATAAATCAATTTCAGTTTCAACAATTTACATACTATTGTCATGTCAACCACTAAAACTCAAATTTAAGTTCCCGTATAATAATGTAGCCTCTCAAATTTATGACAACGATGCTTATGAACAATATAAAACGAATAATGGTGGTAACATCATTAAGGGTGATTCAATTTTTCACTATGAGGGGCAAAGCGAATGTAACCTCACTACGTCCCCCAAGCATTCTAATAGTTATAAGTATGTTGGCGCGTGTCTTGCGAAAAGGATTAGACATAAAATGTATTAAAGTTGTCAGAAAAATATAAGCGTTAATATTGATCCATCCAGGCTTTTGAATTGACTTTGTGTTACTTGCACAATAAATTTCAACAACCAAAATCTGACAATGTTTTAACTCAGCTTCTAACTCGGTTGCTTTTGATGGCCAGTGCGGGATCTCACATTGGATCGGTATTGCAAGGAACATGAAGGACATTTATACATTGGGTAGGGAAGTTGATAATGGAGGAGGATATAGAAGATGTTAAGAGGGAAATACAGATAATGCATCACATGACAGGGCACCCAAATGTATCGATTTGTGGGTGCTTATGAAGATGAAGATGAAGATGCAGTTGCAGTTTATGTTATTATGGAGCTTTGTGCTGGAGGGGAGCTATTTGATAGTATCATATAATGTGGGCATTGCACACAGAAGAAGGCAGCCTAGCTTTCTCGGATCATAGTTGGGGTGGTGGAAGCATGCCATTGTTTAGGGGCTATGCATAGAGACTTGAAACCGGAGGATTTTCTGTTTGTCAACGAGACTTGCATAGATTCTACTGCATTTTTTGATAAATTGTTCTTTGATAATTTTAGTACTTGAAGGTCCTTGTTCGACAATTGTTCTATTGTAACAATTGAATTGGTTTTAACATAATTCATCGAATATATAATGTATTTTAGCACAAAGTTGGTGATCGTAACATAAACAAGTATACTAGGTTTATGCCTGAATGATATTGTAACTTGGAACTTTCTATAAAACTTGATTAGCTAAATGCCTAAATGGCATTGTAAGTTGAAACTTTCTATAAAATGATAGAAAAACTTGTACAAGATATTTTTTAAACCCTCCCATAACAAATTTTCCATAAAAATTGATGTAAAATTAGATACAAACAAACCACAAGGATAGTGCTTGATTGGTTTGAGTTTGACTCCAAATATCAAAAGTACCAGGAGGTCCCAGTTTCAAATCTAAGGAGGAATAAAAATCCTCTTGTGGTCACGGAGGTTCAAATACGGTGACTCCGGGCTATCTGCAAAACAGGTGGTCGTCCTGGGATTAGTCGGATCACATAGCGGGTTAGATTTCCAAGTTAATCAGAAAAAAAAAAAAAATTAGATACAAACAATAAATCTACTTTGTTGGTAACAGTAAATACCAAATTTGACACCAAGTGAATTTTGAAAGAATATAATTGAGAACAAGTGGTTTTGGGCATATTCCGTGGCATTTTTGATGCTTTTTGTTCTGATATATATTCGTCACCAAAAAAGCGCCAAATAACTTGGATCCGATCCTTTCATATCTCAAACAAGACGTTTCCGTTCATTCTTTTTCTCACTCCCAAATCCACTGTTCCACTATCCCCCACTTTCATTCCACTGGTAAGTAATCTCTCTCAACTTCCGTCCTCCGTCTGATGCACAGAACAAAACCCTTATCTTTCATCGGAGCTCCATTTAATTCAATTGTTTAATCCCTATACGTGTTTTTTGATTTTCAGTCTCTGTTAATAGATTTAGATTTACCCTGTGTGAGAATAAATTTGATTTTGTTTTACCCAAGTTAACTTTATTGTAAGATCGAAGATAGATTTTGATCTAATGGAGTTTTTTAATCGGTTCGATGAATTGAGTGGAACTCTAAAGAATAGAAGTTGGAAACTTTTAGGTTGATACTCACATGTTTTGCAACTATCAAGGGAGTAGCTTGAATGGTTTTTGGTTTGAATCCCCCTTCCCTTTTTTATTGATCAAGTAAGTGAGCATGTTGCCGGATTGATAGAACTTTGTTTTGATATATGTTTAAATTAAGTACTACTGGAGATGGTTCCTTTCAGATTTTGTATAGTTTGCTTTGCCATTGTGGGTTCAACCTCGTATCTTCTTACATGCTTTTGAGTGGATATCTGAAAATGGCGAAAATTGAATTCCAAATTTATTAGGTAACTATTATCACCTCTAAATGTATAATCTGGGTCCAGCTTTGTTGGTACACTTTCTTGAGGGTAAAGTCTTCAAACTGCAATGTTTTCTTATTGAGTTGTCACTTTTCAAATCACTATACATGCTTTTCTGTTGCAAGCCAATCATCAATCCTGCAAAAAAGGGCATCATCCTATGCAAAAGTGAATTATTTTAGACATTAGTGCCCTAGTTAGCCAGTAGTTTTTTGAATTTATAGCTGGTTCTTGCAAACTGTGTGGCTTTTCTTTTTTGCTATTGTTGCAGGAAAAGTGGTTAGTTTGCAACTAAAAACAAATGAAGATAGTTTGAAAAGTTGGTAACTCTTTCATCATCAAATCTTATTGATGCTATTGATTTTTGGTCCACAGATTTTTCTATCTTATCATCATTGGAGGGAATTTAAAACTTGACTAATAGTCAGTTTTTAGAAACTTCATGTCACTCATATACATTGCAATTTTCATGGGACAATGTGAGTAGCATTTTGACACATAACCACTTGCTTCATTAGACTGATGACTCTTATGGTATCACTGATGTAGGGAGATGAGCTGAGCTATTTCTATCCTGTCAAGGGTACTAGCTAGCTAGTTTGGCATCATTCACTTTCTTAGTCGTATCTACTTAAGAGTAATTACCTGAACTTTAAATATAGATATACAAAGGTGCATGTTTAGTGTATATCTGGTTTTAGTCTRTAGAGATTTTGATCAGAAGTTAGTTACAGGATGCATACCCCTCATTCATAGCTGGAGTGAGATCCTATGAAGCTTAAAGAAATAGGTAAAAACTTAGAAGCATGACTGTAATGAGTAAGTTGCTTACTTGCCTGTGGAAGGTACTATCACCTACATATAATATAACAACAGGCCATAGGATCTGCTGTTATATTCTTTAGTCTGCAAGGTCCTTTGGTTGCCTCCTGAAGGTTTAATCTTGTGTAACTTGATACTTGTAGCAATTGCTCAAGCCATTGCTCATTGTGGTTATTTTGTAACATACTTTAAACACGAAATACACTGTTAAGGTTGTCAAATATAGGTGACTAAAGCCCAAGTTGTGTTGGACTATATACCCACATGAAAATTGCAACATTACCTTGCAATCCGGGGATACTGGTTTTTTTGGTTTGGTTTTTTTCCTTGTTTGGAAAACTTTTAAGCTACAGTTTGACCATTCTTTGCTGTAGATTATTGATGGTATTGATTTGGTTCACATGAATTGCTTATTTTGTTTTTATTGGAGGGCATTTTTAGACATTTGACTTGTAATAGAACATTTTTACCTAACTACATGTGAAGTTTAATCATGGGAGAGGAGTATGCCATGGTGGTCAAACTTCAAACTAATGATATTGGTGAATTAATCGTTTACAGGGTTAAGTAACTTAGACAATCATGAATCGGCTCAAGAGTCCTGCACGCCTCATGATCGTCTCAGATCTTGACCATACTATGGTAGGTGATTTATAGTCACAACATTTTTAATTTGTGGTCTCATTTACAAGTGAACATAACCTTATTGTGCCATTAGAGTGAATAGTGTATACTAAAGATTTAATAAACAATGTTGCAGGTTGATCATCACGATCCCGAGAACCTTTCTTTACTAAGGTTTAATGCCTTATGGGAAACTAAATACCGCCATGATTCATTACTGGTGTTCTCAACGGGAAGATCGCCTACATTATACAAGCAGTTGAGGAAAGAACACCCCATGCTAACCCCTGACATTACCATTATGTCAGTGGGTACTGAGATAACATATGGTAATGCAATGGTGCCAGATGAAGGTTGGGTCACTGTTTTGAATCATAAATGGGACAAAAAGATAGTCACAGAGGAAGCAAGCAAGTTTCCTGAACTTACTCTGCAGGTATGATTCCACACATAGTTGTAATTTACTTTGTTATTAGAAGGATATTATGGGGATTATCTTGATAATAGCACAGTGATTAGATTCCCTTTTGATACCTGCTTATAAATGTGTTGAGACTTTATAGTTTTCTAAAAAGTTGGTTGCTTTTTTTTTGGCGATGCAGTCTGAAACTGAGCAACGCCCTCACAAAGCTAGCTTCTATGTTAAGAAAGAAAAGGCTCAGGAAGTAATGAAAAATCTTTCTGAAATTCTGGTTAAACGAGGGGTGAGCATGAAATTTTTTTCCTTTAATTTTTTGTTAGTCAATGCTTAGTGTTAATCATGTTACCCATATATGTAGGTCAACTTTATTTTCCTTCCCTCTTCAAATCACTAATATCTTGGTTGTCAGCTAGATGTCAAAATAATTTACAGTGGTGGGATGGATTTGGACATATTGCCTCAAGGTGCCGGAAAAGGTCAAGCTCTTGCTTATTTGCATAAGAAGTTGAAGGCTGAGGGAAAGTTACCGCAAAATACCCTGGCGTGTGGAGATTCTGGCAATGATGCGGAGCTATTCACCATTCCAGACGTATATGGTGTCATGGTTGTTGTCTCCTCTGTTTTGCCATCATCTGGGGCAGGTTTAAGTGAGAGCCATAAATATTTTGAGAACCTCAAAACCAACTATTCATGATGAATGTCATGATAGATATTTATAGCATTCATGATGAAAACACATGACATTTATGATAAGAATGCATGATATCATACATTATGAAAATGTTTGGTATTGATGATAAATAATATTCATGATTATTCATCATGAATAATACATGAAATAGTTGGTTATGAGGTTCTCGAAATATTATGGTTTCACTTGAACTTCCTCCCATCATCCCCTATTTACACAAGTGTGCTCGTATTTATAGCTCTTCTTCTTGCAGGTCAAGAATGCACAGGAAGAACTATTGCAGTGGCATGCTGAAAATGCAAAAGATAACCCCAAGATTATTCATGCAGATGAAAGGTGTGCAGCTGGTATCATACAAGCAATCGGTCATTTTAAGCTTGGCCCAAGTATGTCACCCAGAGATTTACCCAATCTTTTAGATGCTAAGTTGGACCATTTTGATCCTGCTTATGAAGCAGTGAAGTTTTACTTGCTACTTGAGAGGTGGCAACGTGCAGAAATGCAGAATCCGGAACACTATTTGGACTATCTGAAAGGAGTTTGTGTATGTTCAGTAACCTTCACTGCTATTCATGTTTTTTGGTCTTTTAACCCCATACTCATCATCTTGGTTGCTTTTCGTTCTCCATTTACACAGTCTCCATTAGGTGCATACATCAATCCTTTTGGTGTCGAACAATCCCTTCATGATATCATTGGTACGCTAAAAGACTGCTCTGGAGACAAAAAAGGGAAACAATATCGAGTTTGGGTTGATCAAGTTTTCCCTGTTCAGATTGATTCAGACACATGGCTCGTCAAGTTTAAGAAGTTGGAGCAAACTGGTGTGTCTTCCTTCACTCATTTCGCGATCTCCATTTTCTTATGTTCCCCCAAAAATCTTAAGAACAGTTTATGAGACATGAAACATCTAACGGTTAGTTGTAAAATGTAGGCGAAGGGCAACAATGTTGTTTCACGACAGCTATACTGAGTTCAAAGGTTACGCTTTTTTTTCTTCTAAAGATATCTTTACAAGAATTACGCATGATGGTGTTTCTTGATGTGTGTTTTGATCATTGTTGCTTACAGGATGTGAAACCGTCACAAGGGTTCAGTTGGGTAAATGTGCACCAGACATGGATGGATGATGAGTTAACAACTAGCGGAAAGAATTGGTATCTTTAAGGTTATACGTGCTGCCCGTCTTTGAGGTATCTTAGATTACATAATGTTGTACCGGAAATAAATGTAGCAAGTCGAATCTTTATAGCAGTTTTGGTCATTCAAACATTATCCCTGATGGAGGCTGGTCTGTTCTGATGAACTTGTTGCTGTTCTATATGATATTTGTATACACGAATGGCATTTTACGGCCTGGAATCTTTCGAGTGAAACTAGTTGGTTATAATGTCAAAACATATGATTTTCTTGATCAACCCAAACTTATCTCTAAGGGTGCGTTTGGTATCGAGATAGGACAAAACAACTGTTCATTATTTGGTAAGACAGAAGTGAAGATGGTAGAACAGGTAAAATGACCAATTTAGCCTTAAAATATATAGAGGGTGGCTATTTGATGTTTTAGAGGAGAATCAAGTTTTATTTTAAGGATATATTGGTAAAATATAGGTATGTTATATTGTATGTCAAACCCATCGTAAAGTTTCCTACTTAAATCGTTGATGATATTTGTACATGTTCTTATTATTATATTTTCATAATTATCTACAATATATTTTTATTAGAAAATACAAAAAAAAAATAGCGAACTAGAATAGCATGGGAGAAGGTGACCATTAGAACTAGATCCTCCAGTGGAATGACACGTGTAGGATTAACCGGGACCGACCTAATGGAAAAGCAAGCACACCCCACCCACCCTTACATTTTCAAATAACGCTCTCACCGAGATCTGAGATCGCCGTCGTCGATGGCTCTCCGACTGGTCTACGTTGTCGCCTTCATCTCAACATCATGCGCTTTCTTCATGCTCCTCCACCTTCTCCTCCAGCCTGTCTTCTATTTCACCCCCGCCTGATCATATCTACCTACAATCTCCGCTCATGTCTATATGTATGCCACAACACTCTCCACCGGCGGTAATTATCTAACTATGTTTTCATTTATGATACTCCCTATTGTCATTCCTTACGTTACGTTACGTCTATATTAATTGGCCTTTTTTCAATTTGAGTTTCATACCTCTAGATCTGATTATTTTATATCATATGGAGGTTTTCCGGAACCGATCTCTGTGATTGGGACACATTAGTGTAGTTGCATCAAACAATAGCTGCATATAGATCGATCATACTTCTGTTCGACTCTACCTCTGGAGATTTCCTCCACGAATTTTGGAGATTCAAAGTCCGTTGTCGAATGTGAATTTTTAATAGCTGTTATAATGTAAAACTACATTTTAAATCAAATACTGTATTTTTGATGAGATAGATCCTGTTGCTCATATTTTCATGTGCATATTCAAGAAAAAAGTTTCATCTTCCACGATTAATTCGCTACATGAAGATAGTCAAAATGTTAATCCTCTTCTGTTGTAAACAGAGCCGTTCTAATCGTCCATGTTTTCTGTCCACGATTAATTTGAAGGATGTGAGATTTTACACCCAACTTAACAACTATTTATGATTATTGTTGAACTATCTTTGTTTTCTTAACCTAAAGGGTAATCTTCTCTTTCTATGTATATGTATCCTTGTTTGTTATTTCGTTTTGTGAAAATGGTTCAACTCTGTTAACATAATTTATGAGGTGTTCAATTTTTCAAAGGTAATGCTAGGGTGATTTGAGTAGTATGTGTAAGAATTTTATAAGGTGTGTTCATGCACATATAGCAACAAAATAGAAACCAATACAGTACAAATCATAGTAATATAATCAAGACGAGAGATCATGTGAGAAGTGTAAGAAGGTATTTGAACCCTTGATCACTATTAATCTCAAATCCATCCATGAATCGCGTTTGATACGGGATTGATCCGGTGCATTTCATCTTAGTACATCTCATCCTAATGTGCATCTAAGGATGAAAATCTCTTCTTATGCTTCTTATCTCAATTCTCCTTCTCATCGAAACCCAACTCATATAATCAATGTGTATAAAAATGAAAACAAGACGGGAAAGATTATACGACCAAATTTTTTTAGACGTATCTTGAAAAGTTTGCATATCCAACTTCAAGAGAATCTACTGTAACATACGAATTAATGGTACCGCGTTTCCTTTTTTTTTAGTAGACGTTTACTAAGCACTTACCTGATAAGTGCTTAATAATGAAATTCTACCCTATCATTTACTTAAAACGGATATGTTACAAAATGAGAAATACAAGTTCTTGTAAAGTTGCAACAAAATGAGTAATGAGTAAGGATTAGCAGAATAAGCATAGCTGAATGAGAAATATAAGCTCCCTATCTTTATTTTACATTAATAAGTATAACATTTGGTAAGCGGTGATAGCAAAGCTAAGCTGGATAGGGTTTTTTATGTTACAAGCCCCAAAACCTGTAATATCGCTTTCTTTACGACCATCCTTTTAACAAATTAATGAATCTTTTCAAAACTAGCATAAGCATCAACAACTGAAACTAACAAATCAACATACCATAAACTCTTAATAAGTCGACAACTTTTTGTGTTAATTGCATCACATGAATCACATAGATCATAACTTGCACACTTGATCGACTATATATTAATATTATTGACCTGTATTTTAAAATATTATTTTTTTCAAAAAATAAAAGAATACAAATGAATAAAATGTGCCAAATTTGATGTAATTTATAGCACACTTGCATTGGTTTCATAACGGGAATCATACGATACTATATTGATATTTCAACATGCCCACTTGATTTATTATTATCCAAATATGATGTTGTCTGAAACTCAAAAGAGAGTAAACAAAACCATTTGATCAACAATAAAAATGCTTAATATTTCCAAATCAAACCAAACGTAATGGGTATGTTCCTAACCCATAAATAAGGTTAGGGGTAGGATACTAGAATGTATACAAACATTTCCTCTATCTTGAAAGATAGATTATAGAACGGCTATTTCTAAAGAGAATCCTAGACTTGAGTAAGTTATGAAAATTCTTGAAGAAATTGAAGATTCTAAAAAGCAAAAGATGGGATTGATATGAGTTAAGGTGAGAATACCATTACAACAACGAAAGATTATGTGAGAATATAAGTTAAGGTGAAAAACATAGGAAGGGTTTCTAGACCCTGGATCACTTTTAATGTTACTCCCAAAACATGAATTGCGATTCTCACATAAATTAATTTGGTGCAGCTAATTGTTGTTGATATCCAATTATGATTGGTCCAAGAGTGACATTCTTTCTTAATTTTCTCATCATAACTTTCATTCTCACCGAAAACCAACCTTACAACAATTTATGTACTTATTTAAGCACGTAGACGGTTTTAGCTTTTTAGGAAACAAAAACTTGTGTTTACTCTTATAAAAAAATCTGTTATCCACTTGTGTTTCTTTTTGAAATACTAAACAATATTATTTACGATATCAGACATGAACAAGAAATTTTAAAATCAGAAACTGAAAAAGAAAACTAAACATTTGTAGATCGAATTACCACCAAAATACAAATTAAATTTATTACTATTAATTAAATAATAGAATAAAAACCAATGGTTTTTGGATCCTCTGCCCCTCATTTCATCGTCACCCCTTATAAACCTCTAATTTCTTCACCACCATTTCCCATTCAAATCCATTTTTTTGCAATTCTCTCATCATGGTTTTCCCTACTTCCCAATTCTTTAAACCCCAACGATTTCTATTCTTGCAGGTATAGACCCGGAAATCGATAAGCATTATTTGCGACCATGGATAGCGATGCTTTGAGAACAAGGTTCATGACGGTTTTCGTTGTATCTGGAAGCGTTGTGATTCTTGCTCACCAGTTTCATAAACGACTTGTCTCCAACTTTATGAAAAAGATAGAATTCGAATTGGGTATTTGATTTTATGAACGTTCTATTTTTCTTTATTTGATTCTGATTATGTACGTATAAGTTAATTCCAATCTTTCTTTACGAAAAAAGAAGAAGAAAGACAGATTGTACGATTTGAACGTATTGATGTATGCCTGCATGATAGGTTCAGGGCCAAATCAAACAAAAAAGAAGGTGAGGTTCTCTTGTGAAGCATTGAAGGTTTTATCGACCAATAAACAAAACTCGAAGAAGTTGTCGTCAAACGTGACGATGGCCGCGGCCGCCATGGATCGTTCCTGTGATAATAAGAAATGCAGAAAGACAATGCCTCTCAATTGGCAGATTATGTATAAAGGGATCATAGACTACAAGAATTCGATTTCTGTTCCGTAAATTCTTTTCTTGATTTGATGGTGGTTGATGGTGCTGAAATTTTAAGGATGGGGAAAATTATGTCATTTTGTGTAAATATTTTTTGATTTTAATTGATGTCGAAAACTTTCTGTTTACACCGTTTTGAGGAGAAGTTTATCTATCTTATCGGATGAATATGATAAAAACCAAAAATTTATTCTGATAAAAGGCATGACAAAGACCAATAATTTCATCCGCTATGTAAGGAATAAAACTTTTACCTAGTAAGCAGTTACCGGGTAAAACGTGTTTATCAACAATTTGTTTTGATGACATAAATTGTTATTTAATAAGATAAATAAAGATGATGATTCTTGTCGATATATGTGACCCCTTAATTATGATAAAGATTAGTATCTCACTTCTTAACAATTGGAAAATAAGATACATTTATCAAATGTTTTATGTATGTGTTTTACACTTGTTTGAATATATTACATGTTTAGTGAGATAATTTGTATTTTTTAACACAACATGCATGTTGGAATGCTTTCAACACAACTTAGAGGTTGTTTGACAGTTGCTAAATCATTTGGTGCAGAATGATTAAGTGGTCAGAATGATTAAGAAGCTAATTATATAGTAGAAAATGAAATATAACTGTTTGGTAATTATTTACAACGAAATTAAAACGCTAAATGGTTAAGAGAGACTTGTGAATACAAAATCATTCAGAGGGTTTTAGAATCATTAGGAGACAAACTTTTTTTTTGCCAAACAAGATTCACCTCTTAAAGATTCAAAAATTGTCTCTTAATAAAACTATTAAAAAGTAAACAAACAACAACTTAGACTATACAAAAAATAACATGTGATGATGCATAAAATAATCAAAAGTACATGCATGTATACATTTTAACATGTAAGTAGCTCAGTTAAATCACACATCCACCCACCTGCTTTGCTAGACCTTAAACTTGCTTTCATTCGTTTAGGGTGTTAAAAAGAAATTGTCTGTTTTTTATAATTTGAATGGTCTAGTGGTTCAGTCCAGTCTGAACGATTTGTTTTTTCAAAATATATTTTTTATTAGGGTATCATATTTTTAAAAATTTACCAATTATAGCATTGGGTAACATTTTAAATTAAGCTTACCAATTATACCAGGTTTCTTTGCCACCTCATCGTCCATATAGGTTGTCTACATATACGATAATGCTGACATGACATTTTTTATTATAACGTTGTACTTTCAAAATTATTTTATTATAACATCACCAATTTTTATTATAGCATTGTCTTTTAATTTTAATATATTTTTTATCATTTAAACATTGTAAATTTAATCAAATAAATTTACTAAAAATTATAATATTAAATTGTATTTGTGATGCTTGTATGTATTAGCTATTTTGATTTGTTTACAAAGGTTTAAGAAAATGTTTTTTTTTATTTAACAAAAAAACTTAAATAATGGTAAAAAAAAAAAATTAAATTTCATGTACTGTTTGATATATTATTGCAGATATGTTAATACTAAAAAACAGTTATCAATTAGGGTGTCTTTTGCTTTCTATAATATATCAAAAAACCAAAAAAAAAACAATATTATAATCTTAAATAATATTTATTATAATTTTCAGTAAACATATTTGATTAAATTTACAATGATTAAATGATAAGAATATTTAAAATTAAAAGTAGAATGTTATAATAAAAAAGTAATGTTATAATAAAGTAATTTTGAAAGTACAATATCATAATAAGAAATGTCATGTTAACACTATCGTACATGTGGACAACCTACATAAACAATGAGGTGATAAATAAACCTGGTATAACAGGTAAATTTAATTTAAAAAATTATCCAATACTATAACGAGTAAATTTTTAAAAATACGATGTCCTAATAAAAAAATATTTTATAAAATAATTGTTATAATAAAAAAAACTGAAAGAATAGTATAATAATTTTTTTAATGATCAAAGTCATTAACAAAAGCCCAAGAAAGCCCAACACCTAAATTGGCATAGGGTATACTATTGTCCAAAAAAGGTTACCTGCCCATCTTCTGTTTCTCACCCACAACCGGACTCCAGACGACCTCCGATCCTCGCCCATTCCTCTCGCTACTCACTTCTTCAGGTGTTCTTTCTTGAATCTTGATGTTTTCTTCTTTATGTTTCTTGATTTGCTTATTAGGTTTACTTACAGATTGTTGTCTTCTTTGTAAGTCTGTTTGTCATCATTCTAGCTTTGTTTGGCATCACTGAATTACTCTGGAAAATTTCTTTATGAATCTATAGAATGTGACTTCAAAATTGCAATTCAAGTTATCCGGTTTCAGTTCCAAGCCATAGAATTGTTTCTCCCCAAAAACGCACACGTATTCTTTGTGGTAATATAGTATCCAAGGTTTAAATTGGAGCTAATTTGATCAATCCCATACCTTATCTTGCCCCAATTCCAGCTGTGTAGGCCTTGCAATTTTATCTGAAAAAAGGAACATGCTTCTGTTGGTCTTAAGCTTGATTTGGTTTTACATCAATGGGAACTCATGTAGTCATGATCTTTAAGCATCTTGCTGGTTGTTGTCTCTTCCAAGTACTCTTTTGTTGTCTTTGTTGATTATTATCTCGTATGATCATCCGGGCACTTCTTTCATTTCCTTCAATGGTTCTTTCACACCATTAAAAATCTTGATGTTGAATAACTCTCAAGTCTCAACTGCAAGTTTTGGAGTTGAATAAAGGAGTTGTTAACTTCTTGCACCATTTTCTATCGTAAAAAATCGTTGTTCTGGCACTTTGTATATAAGTGTAGGAATATAATTGCAAAACGGAACATGGTTCTGCACTTTTTGGTTCACAATTGCTCATGTTTCTTTCTGCAACAAAAGCGATGGTTACGAAGGTTCAAGCCGTCAATGACTTTTAAATAAATTTCATGAAGAAATACACACTTGTGCATGAAAAATTTACAATGGGAGATCTTCCCTTGAATTATGCTATCAAGAACACGCACAATTGTTCTTTGTTGGATGTGAGTTTTTTCTAGTTGGTTGTACCGCTTTGAATATCTTTGTGGCTAACTATCTCATCTTGAACACTTATTCATTTGCCTGAAAGGTGATGATTGTTTGCTACAAGTTCTATGAACCTCTTTATGGATTTTAAGAACCTATATGTGACAAAACGTTGATGATCGTTTGTCTTTTTCTTGGCCAGTTCTTTAACACCATAATAGTATCTTATAATGTCGTTTTTGCTCTTAATTGTTCACTTGAATGTTACTGAGTTCTTCCCACGTTTTTTGTTTTGAAGAATGTCCGAGGAAGAACAAGTCAAAAGAGAGGATTCCACAAAGGAATTGCCAGATGCAGAGTTAGACAAATTAAAGGCAGAACGTAAAAAGAAAAGGAAAATACGTCTATTGAAGGAAGCTGCTAAGGCTGATAAACGTGGGGTCTGCTACTTGAGCCGAATTCCTCCTCGCATGGATCCTTTAAAGCTTCGTCAAATCCTATCTCAATACGGAGAGCTAGAAAGAATTTATCTCACCCCTGAAGGTTTTTCTTAATTTTTACTTTTGTTTCTTTTCAGTCTTATTGTTGTTTTAGATGATGAATCTACTTCATGAAAATGAACCTTCCTAGAAGAATGATAATTTGATTCGTCAAATCATGCCTTTATTGAAGTTACAACTCTCGAATCATTTGGTTTTGTTAGAACCTAACTTTTCATACTTCAATAAAAATTCTTCAGATCCTGCTGCTCATGTGCATCGTAAAAAAGCTGGTGGTTTTCGTGGACAAGGGTTCACAGAAGGGTAAGTTTTATTTGAAAAAACTGAAGGGAAAAGTATTGGATGATCAAGAGTTCTCAACAATTTAGAAGCTATAGCCTAGAATAAGAACGAGCTTTCTTAGAGTTCTGGTTCACCCAAAGGCATTGGGAGATACATGTCTTCATTAGAATATATTGACACTTGTTGTATGCATGTAGATGGGTTGAATTTACCAATAAGAACGTTGCTAAAAGGGTTGCTTCAATGTTGAATGGTGAACAAGTAGGTATGCATGCAAATGATCATATGTTTCTATTTAGTTCCAGGTTCCGTTTAGTAATTGCTAATTATCTAATTTTACGTTCCTTGCATGTTTAGGTGGAAAGAAGAAGTCGTCATTCTATTATGATCTTTGGAACATTAAATACTTGAGTAAATTCAAATGGGATCATCTCACGGAAGAGATTGGTATGACCTTTCCGGCATGAAAATATGAAATAGTTTAACTATGTGCAAAATTTTGCTTTACACCATGCACATTGGTTGCTAGTGAAATTTGTGCAGTGATTTTATCATCAAATTTCACTTTTTTTAATTAAATTTGATATATGTGTTGCATCATTTGTCTTTGTTATTAACTCCATTACTTGTAATGCAGCATATAAGAACGCCACAAGAGAGCAAAAACTAGCACTGGAACTGTCAGCAGCTAAAAAGGAGCGGGATTTCTATCTTTCAAAAGTTGATCAGTCTCGTGCTTTAAGTTCTATAGATGAACGACTGAAGAAGGTATTCTTGAATTTATATTTACAGGTTACATCAGTTGTCTCAACCAGAAAACTTTGAGAAATAGAAAAACATGGCCTGAAAAGAATCCTAGAAAAACTGTGAAGTATCTCTCCCGAGATAAACCTATGTATGGGAAATTGACATAAATAGCCAACCAACAAATAGAGTTTCACTTTTTAGCCAACTCTTGTGCAGAAGGCTTACGCGTATGCACAAGGATTGGTTTTTCACAGAAAAAGTTCACACTTAAGGATTCCACTATATGCGTAAGATTTCTGGATCCTTATGCAGAAATCTCTTTTTTTCTTTTTTCTTTTGCCGAAACCAATCTGTATGCATAAGCTTAAGCCTTCTGCGTAAAGATTGGCTAAAAAGTGAATTTGGGTTAGATAGTGGCTAAAAAGTGAAACCACCTGTTAGCTTTGACCATTTCTGTAAATTTCCCTAAACCTATGCAAGGTTTTAAAAGGCGGAATCGGGCCTCGAGGCGGTCCGAGGCGTAAGCATGAGGTGGAAATATAGATACATTAAAATACGTATATATACTACACAAATATATACACATTTGTATATATATACTACTAAATTACTAAGAGGCGTGGTTCGGTGGTTCATGACATATGAAAGAGTGAAACTGTGAGACTGGCTGAGAAGGTTTTGAAAAATTGGTTGCTTGGAGGAAGAGGAAGGGTCCAACCACACTTTTTGATTTAGATGAGAAAGTACCCGCTTTTTCGGTTTCAAAATTTTAAAAATACACGTTCGGGCCATTGTGCTTTGACTTTTAGTTTTTAAAAATACAAGAAGACTAGTACGATAAAGAGAAGTACTACTAATGCCATAAAGCTTATAGAAAAAGTAAAAAAAAAACCATTATCAAAGTAGATCATGTGAGGCTTATGCCTCGACATCGCCTCACGCCTCACTGAACCAAGGCGTAAGCCTTGTCCAGGGTCCAAGAGACGTCGCCTCAGGTGCGGTTTTGGGCCTCCTCACCTCGAGGTGTAAACCTCAAACAATTTTTAAAAACCATGAACCTATGGCATCATCCCATCGATAGGATCACTCAATCAGAGGAAAAAGCTCAACACATCCTTTGTTCATTCAATAAAGCTCAAATATTTGATAGAATTCGGATGACGCAAGGATCACATTAGTTTTATGGAAAGAATAAAAATTGAATTGAAGTGGGGAATTGTGTTGTTTGCTTTTGGTAACTTGTGGTATGTGATCCTGGCATGTATGTAGACGTGTCCTCTATCCCAAATAGTGGATCAGCGTGAAGGCTGGAATCCTAGATACTAATAAATCGAGCTTTATGTGCTTTATTCTCATTTACAAGAATTACTGCAATTAATATTGCTCGTTCTAGCGTGCAAAAAGTCTGGCAATCATATTACTTGGGTTTTGCAGAAACGTAAGATCCAACAAGCGGGTGGTGAGGTCCCGGGTGATGAGCAGCAGGCGGCGAAAGTGACACGCCAGTTTCGGCAAACAAAGCCAGTGAGAGACGGTGCTGAAAAGCAAAAGGCTGGACTCTCCAAGGACATTTTGGCCGGGGTGAGTGTATTCAGTATTGCTGTTGCACCTTATTTGAAACCTGAAGCTTGTTGGTTAACAACATTCATCTGTTTGTAGGTCTTCGGTGGTTCTTCGTGAGGAGTCGAAGTTTTGATCTTTTCATCGAGTTACTCCACTCCAGCTCCTTGTAACAACGCAATTTTGTGACAAAAACCTTGTGCTATATGCAAATATTTTGTTTTACCTTATTCCGCTTAAGCTTTCTGGAAACAATCGTTCTACTCACTGTGTTCTTGAATTTGGGAAGAAACAGAAGGACGGAAAGGAAAGAGTTTTTTCATTTGTTTCTTGATTAGAACGGAGGAGAAGAAAAAGAAAGATGTCAATTTTACTATTATACCCTTTCTTGTAGTAAATATATAACATTGTTGTATGACGGTATTTTTGTCATGAAAGATCATATCCTCACAAATTTTCTTATTTTCCTTAAAAAAGATTTCAATAACACAGTGGTTGGAATAGATGACAGATCTGTAAACATCATATCCTGGTTAGACTATTTTTGAAGGAGATTACAGATCTACATACATCCCGTCCACGACAGCCACAGCCAAAGATGTGTCCTATACTATAGTTGTTGAACAATAGAAACCCAATAGCAGTTTCTTGCAAAACGTGCATTTTGTTTGATTTGAAAGGCTTGTATGAGTCGTGTCTCTTTGCTGTTATTATTTGTGGATGAGGGATTTAAGCCATTGCAATCTCCATCCTTCTTACTATAACTTTCATTTTCACATGAATTTTCGCCTACATATATTAATATATATGCACGCAAAGGATCGTATGAGAACACTTTCATTTTACGAGAACACGAGAACACCTTTTTACAATAGACAATTATATGTGATACTATTAGTTCATCATGTGATACTGAATCAGAGACACAGACGATTTTCGGCGCGATCTTGGTTGCGAGCCAAGTCGCCCTTACACCACTAAGCCCCCTCACATGTATTATCACATGTGATAAGAGTGTTGTTGATATGATATTATAATCCATCAAGACCATCACATATGATACTAAATCATAGACACAAACAACCTTTGGCACGACTTAAGTCGTAGAACACGTTTTCCGAATACCACCAGGTCCTCTCACGTGTATTATCACATGTGATAAGGATGCTCTCGTGTTCTCATAAAATAAAGGTATTCTTGTTTGAACCTTCATATATATATATATATATATATAATATAATATAAATAGAAGATAGGTGAGTGTTTAATTAGGGGGTCGATATTCATACCCCCTGGCCCTGATGTCATTTTCTACACCCCCTTCTCTCACAAACTCACTCTCTCACATACTCATCCCCTCTCACATTCAACAAATTTTTTTAAAATAATAATTTTAAATTTACACTTTATACCCCTATAATTAGTTAATTAATTTACTTTACGTC